CTGTCCACACGATAGAGAGAGAGAGAGGAAAAAAAAAAAAGAGAGAAAAGAGATCGAGTGAAGGGAAGAATAGAAGAAAGTCAACTTCTCTAACTAGCCTGAATCCAGTTCTCTCTCTAACTAGAGCAGACTGTGTATCTTGTGGTTCACATGATAAGGGAAGAAGAGAAGGAATTCCTTGATGCTCCCCTAACTAGCAAGTATCCAGGTTCTCCCTCTACCAGAGCAGACTGTATGTAGATTTATTATGGCTCAAATGAAGAAAGAAGAGAAGGAAATCACTGTACCCGAGTCTTATAGAGCTGCTGCAGCTGTTCGAAACCCAAACTGCCTCATTAAACTCTCTCCCTTGTCGCGGTTCGGCTTTGCAGTTATGCGTCTCGTTATAACTTAGAAGATCCAAATGATGCACAGTCCTGATTGGATCAGGACGAGTGGAGCCGGAACGCGTCGACATCAAAGTGGTTTAGAGATGCCTCGCACTTCGTTGGATCAGGAATTCTTCTCTCACACCATGTTGGAGATGTGGACATGAGAAGGCTTTTAGTAGCTAATGAATCACTATATCACACACAACAATGCAAATGTTGACGTAATGGTAACATGATACATAAAATCAAATGTCACTCTGCAGAACATCACATCATTCTACTTTATAAGAGTACAAACTAGTAATCCATTTACAACCTCAATTTTATTTGTCAAAGTTGCAGCTCAATACAAATTGTAGAAGACAAAAGGAGAATAACATATACAGGAACAACACTACAACACTTCAAACCTTCTCTCCTCCACCATAATGTTACACAAGGACAATATTTCAAATAATATATTCTTACAGAAACTTTATTGTGTTGGTGGATTTGAGATAACTTTCAAGAACTGAAACTAGCTACATGGTGAGTGTATCAGGAAGAGCAGTATAAGCTCCTAGAATCTTGCCACCGACATCAGGGAAACACTCCTGGTTGGGCAGGGGCCCGACCTTGCCATCAGCTTCCACCTTGACAGGGTATTTCAGTAGGTGACCTGTCAGTGGTGTTATTTCCTCTGCAGTGTATCTCGACCAGTTCTCTTCAGCTATCTTGTTCACAAACTTTACACACTCCAAACTGTTGGGTTCCTTGAAACGGTCATCTATCATACCGAGATGTTCTGCCCACAATGACATCCTATATCCATATACCTGGAGCAATTCAAATTTTGTTAATATGCATTGCGCTTGGTATAATATGCAGTATCAAAATTCTCTTTGAAAAAAGTAAACTATGATGGTACTTCAGTACCACCTTGCAAATGCAACAAGTGCTACAACAAGAACTAAAAGCAGGAACAGATGTGTAAGTAATAGAAAACTTTTGTCTGGTTTTGTACTAATACAATTACCACAAAAGCACCAAAACTTTCCATCTGGCTAACCAATCAGCTGCTTTAGTTTGCCAATTAAGGAAAGCATCTTGAGTCCCATTCATCAGCAAGTTAGTCTATTGAGAGATCCATTTTTTCAGTTACACTTTTAATTGATCTTGCGTAGGGTGACTTGGTTCCACCAACACCTGGTTTAGTCCACCTGGAAGGGCGACTAAAATTGGATCACTTTGTATCAGCTATTCCCACAAACAAGCTAATGCATAATATGACTACCTCCAACATTCTCCATTTAAATTTCTATCACTGCATCAGCACCACATCTATCATAGGGTTTATCATTGGCAAGGAACTCTCTTTCAATCAGAAAAAAGTTAAGGTCCATCACATATCATGAAATTTCTCAGATGCTGTAGGAAAATGATACAAACTTTTAAAATTTTCCATATTTTTCATTCAACATTAAGTTATTTGTTATGATTTTGATTTTTATGCATTCAACTATCAGAGGGTACTTGATGTTGAGTTTCTTGTCACTGGAATATTGATATGAATTGAATTGATTTTGAGGATTTACTATGACAGGATTTTATTGTAATTTGGTATTTTATTGTAAAATAAAGAATACTTACATGTACCTGTTCAAGCACATCATCACCTATCCTCTAGCCATCAACAAGTGTTATTTAAACCTTTAAACACCTATAGGATCAGAAATGCCAAAGCTTTTCTTGTTCCAGCAGTCTCTTCACAAGCTTTCTTCTGTGATTTGACACAGCAAAATCCCTAATTTCCAAAACAAATTATCTCTTGCTTTTTTGAAGGTAAACATGTCTAGCATTGTGCAGTTTTTTATGTACTTTGGCTGGTCTCCAAGGAAAAAACAAAACAAAATAGAAACAACTCAAATGAAGTCACACAAAAGTGGAACCATAGTTAATTAGCTACATCCATGTTGTAGTCATATTGTCCAACACATTCTTTGACAATACAATCTTTTCCTGTTTCATTCTTCCACTCAACACATGCATTCTTTGTTTTCTTGCACTTTGCAAGTTAGAAAGCTTTCCTAAACTTGAGTCTGGAAATTCGTTGGGACAAACACCACTGTACAGGAGACTTGTCTTTAATATTCTAAGTTGATCTACCAACTCACTCATAGAGGTCCTTGTCAGATGTCACTATGCCAATCAGCAGGCCTGTGAGATAGCATGGAAAAGCATGATTTAATGTGTTTCTAAAATGATTAACTGTATATCACAACAATTCTCAACTAATGATCCAAATAATCTTGAAGTCCCAGACATGGGACTCAAGATTTCATCTCATGGATAATTTGATAATTGGACCAGATGCCTGTAGTTCCAAACAATATGGTATTTCTCAATAATTTTTTCTTCATATGGTGGAAAGGCACAAAGCTTATCATTTTTACAGTAGCATGATAAGTTACTCAATATATGTTTAAACTCAAACTTCTTTGAACGATGCCTCAAATTAGCAGTAGAAAGAAATTCAATCAGCAGTGAACTATAACATAACTGCACAGTGTTCTATAAGGGTAGTTAGAAAGGAATACCAAGTTTCACATGATGAAGAATACATACAGACTCATATATTTTATGATAGTGATACTAAAATCTTTCATATATTATACATATTCAATGTATAATAAATGTTTGGAGATGGTTAAATAAAGTTTAGATTTAGAATTATAAAGTGATACAGAAGGATGAAACATAAAAGATGATAAATGGCAATGACCTGGCCATGTGGATGTCTTTTTCTCTTAGTCCATGTATGATGAGGCTGATAGGCTCCCATGGCTATCTCAGTATCTCTTGAACCAGCCAAAGATCTTTGGTTGATATTGGCTGAACCAATTATAACATACTCATCATCTACAATCATCCCTTTTGCATGGACATAGATCATAAACCGCCGAAACTTTTGTGACAATTCCTGAGTTCATTCAAGATGGAATACTTAGATATTAAATGTGAAGCATGGTACAAAAGCACTTGGTTATTTTCTAAAAGTAATCTATATAGAGTATGACAACCTAGATACTCATTTCCTTTGAGTTAAACCTCTATGATATGTAAGTCTCTACAAAGATAATATTAAGCAAGGCACATTAGAGAATAAAATAGAAGTAGCCTTGTCGCAATGTGAAGATCATAATGCCAATTGCAAACTTCAGATGTAACAATTTTGAGACAATCCATAAGATACAGAGGATTTATTGGAAACACTGTGATCTCCCATGTCAAAATCAGCATCAACAGAACAAATATGGAGCTAAAATACAAAAAAGTCACCAGCTATAAATATTCAGCTTTCAAATTACATCCAATGTTTGACGCAAGGTAGGCAACACCGAATGATACCGCCCAGTACGGGCGGTACATACCGGTCCGACGGGATACCGATACGCGGATCGCCCGCAACCGGGCAGAACGTTTAAAAACGCCCCGTATCAGACGATACAAGGCAATATCGAGTGGTAACGATCAAAATTTCGACCGTTATCGCCCGGCACAACTCGGTAACGGTCGACATTGACCGTTACCGCATTGTAACAATGCTACAATGCTCCAATGGTCAATTCCCGCATTGTAACAGTGCTACAGTGCTCCAACAGTCAAATTGACCGTTGGAGCCCTTTCTCATAGTATATAAACTCTTCTTCTTCCCTATTTCACTCCTAAACTCTTTTTTCTCTCCTAAACTCTATAAAACAACGATTTGTGAATTCAATCGAGGCTAATTTGGAAAGATTAAGAGGAAGAACTTTCAAATCAAGAAGTATATATTCTCTTTCTTTAATTAGAGAGTAATTAAGATCTTTAATATTATGATTAGTGTGTTTCATGCATATTAAATATTGAAAAATATTTATGATTCTACGATTAGCCATTTTAATGATGATTTAATCGAAATTTGTTCGATTTTATGTCAATTCAATGTGTTTAATACCTATTAGGGTGTTTACCATGTTTATAGTGTTGAAAGAGAAGTAATTAGTGAAAAATTAACTATGTTAATCATGTAATTAGTGTATCTAATGATGATTTTATCATAATTTGAATCATATTGGATCAAAATTACATATTTAATGTTTCTTTTATGTGTTTGACATATATATGATGGAACAAGACTTCCTCAAAGCCCGAAAAAGATATGTGATACTATTCTTACCTAATTTACATTAATTTTGCTAAACTTATACTATTACTATATTTATTTCTAACTTAAAAACACTATCCTAACTTTTTTTTTATTTTCAGGTATTTTCGGAGGATTTTACACCCTAATTTAGGTGTACCACTCGGTACGCCAAGGCGTACTGCTCGATATACTGTACCATACCGTACCGAGCCAGCGTCGAAACGTCGGTATGGTACGGTATTGCAGACCTTGGTTTGACGGACCACCCGAAATGGTACGAAATGGGCATACATATCGGTCCGTTAGCTGACCTGTATGAGGATGATGTATTAGCCAACACAGTCGAAACTTATGTTGTATCAACTGATATGGGTTGGTACAATCGAAATTTCACCAATACCGATAAGTATGGGTGATGTATCGATAAGTATCGATAAGTACAGGTGATGTATCAGCCAACACAGTCGAAACTTATGCTGTATCAACTGAAATGGGTTGGTACATGGGACAATCGAAATTTCACCAATACCGATCCAAATTGGGTCAAGTTTGACCCCAACGATCAAATTGACCATTGGGGCCTCATTTGGAGCTTTAAATCGCCCCCTCTCCCCCTATTTCACTCACTTACACTCACTCATTGACACTCTCATTCTCACTCTTTCTCACACTCTTGCTTGTGATTAAAGTTTCTAATCAGCAATTAGTGGTAATCAAGCTATTAATTTGGATAAAAACAGACTGAAACTGAAGATCCAATGGAATTTCTCTCCAATTTGAAGGTATTTTGCTTCTTTGTATGTTTATTTATCATTTAATATAATTAGAGACGTATTAACACATATTTACAAAGATTAAACATGATTAAGGTCATTCTCTTGTGTTAGTCTTAATTAGATCGATTGTCTTATATTTAGACCCAAATTGGAAGTATTTAGGTTAATCACTATCTTATGCATTTATTTACACCTCATATACACTCTATTCTTAATTAAATAAAATAAAATTATCATAGGATTTTTCTATAAACTTTCAACCATTGTTCAGCCTTTTCTAGAAAACTGGTGCATACTAGCGTACTGACATTATGTACATCAGTACTGACTGATATCTACCAATCCTCCCATGGACCGACACCACCTGGGTGTGATGATTCTTGATTACATCCACATCAAACATGTACAATACAGGACTTTGTTGTTTATTTTTTTCAAATGGCTCGTCATTTAATATGAAGTGAATCTGATAAAAATGTTTGAGGACTTCATAAATGAATAACGATATTTTTATTCATTTAAATGAATAACGATATTTTTATTCATTTTAATCCCTTAAAAATGATATTTCCAATGCATTTACGGAAATTAGCGAATTTATGAACTAAATAATGATTACATCTATGTAATTTTAGGTTTCAGCATTATGAAGCATGTTGATCACAACGTTAGACAGTTTCCACATAACAGAAACAGTAAAGAGAAAAAAAGGAAGTGAACTAGAATGTTGTTCAATACTTCAATATTTCTAATGAAGGGTTTACACTTTACACTATAAATATGAAGTTTTCAACGCTGAAAGAAAATTATTAACGATGAACTATGAAAGATAATTAATTAAACAATCATCCTACTAATGAATCAACTGCTAAGCCAGCCATAGAACAAAGATTTACTTCAAGAAAAAATAGCATCACAGTAACGATTGAAAATCAACAGAAATTACTACTTACATGCACAAATTACCTATTGATCTTTGGTTCTTACCCTTAAATAGCCAGGACTCTGTAAAACATGTTGTTGGTACCAAGGTTCGCCGTACCGTACCGTACCGGCGTTTCGACCCGCGCTCGGTACGGTACGGTACGAGTGTACCGACCGGTATACCGAGGTGTACCGAGCGGTACACCCGGGTGTGCCGAGCACTGTAGCAGTGCTACAGTGCTACAGTACTGCTACAGTACCGGAACGGTAAGAGGCGGTCCGCGTACCGAAAGTCTGTTGGACCGGTACGTACCGCCCGTACCGGGCGGTACTGTTCGGTACGGCAAACCATGGTTGGTACTCATCTCATCTGGCAGCAGGAACGGGTGGAAGTTGTGATGTAAGAAATCAGTATAAAATGTCAATTAAGTTTTGGTGTATTGATTCCAGACCAGTGCTCCGAAAATTAGGGAAGAGAGTCTTAATGAATATATAATATATAACTCCAGTTCAGCTCTAATATTCAGGAGGGATTCTGCCAAAATGATTTTAAATTGACAAATGACCAAATAGTTCCATTATTGACTTAAAAAATATAAAATATTTAAGTTCAATCTTTTTGCTGCCATCAAAAGGTCGCGTTGGCAGGAAAAGATAAAAACCAACAAAAACAGCTGGATTTGACCACCGCTAACTAGTGTAAGCCAACAAAAACAGAAGGTAACCCCTAACCTTTTATGGAAATAAATATGCCATATTAGAGAAGAATAATGATTCCCTATTAACCTAAAATTTCAAGAGCACTTTATTGGAATAAAGTATGTATTTATTTGTTTTTGCATTACCAAACTCTTTATTCATATGATGATCAGATAAGTATTGGAGATATAATGAGACTTGTCACTATATTCAGAGCTATGAATAAATTTTGAGCCTTTAATTTGAAATATATTATATCTCAATCATATTTTTATGAACTACACTTCATTATTTTTGTTAATATTTTTACATACATTTTTAATCTTTCACATGCTGATTTCATATATTTTTAAAAGTTAAATATCTTAGGAAATAAAAGCTAAAAGAATATTTTTGCATTTAATAATTTTCTATTTTTTATCATTTGTTTGGCTTGATCTTCGACTAATTCCAATCCCAGCACCTTGATCTGACAGTATAAAAATAACAATATAGTCTCTAGTCAATCATAATGCCATTCTTGGGAACTAGAATAAATAGTTTTGAAATCATAAAAAGATCCCTTTCATGTATTGTTCTTATTGTTTGACATTCAAATAGCATACTTAAAAAGTTGGGTAACTGTAATATGTGGATATCTGACATATATTGTGCGTTCGGACGCCCATGTCCATGCAGCATTGGCTATTGGTTGCATAATACCAGTGAATAAAATATTCAAACTTGAGCAAAATTTGTACTGTTTCTACAATAATTGCACTTTTCTTATCGTTGCTAGTACTCGTTTATGGATGCAGATGCATTATTATTACTTTCTTAAGAGGCTTTATCATTATCTCTAAACTAATTTATAAGTGTCTTCTTTTCTTGACCGGTATGATAGTGGAATGTCATGCCAACAAAAAAGAATTCTCTTTTATCTGTTCTGTTGATTGTCCAGTGAAGCATTGTAAAATACTTAAACAGATTTAAATTGCAACCATGTTTATGACTATATATTTTAAAAAGGCCCCAGTGGCTTTGATCATTTTTAGCTGAAACATCCCATGTTTTAGGTTAAGCTATAGCGAAATCCTCTTTGGTACATAGGAAACTAGATCTAACTTCTAATCACATCAATGAAAATTTTGAATTTGATGATAAATTTTCGCCCTGACCATACCAAATGATATTTACCGGTCAAGGACATGAACCAAAATATGTACCACTCCTTTCCAGGTGGTTTGTGGCCAGTTCATTGGTTACCAGGTATTAACTCTCCTGAATTGGTTTGATCCTTTCTTTTCCTGTTGATTTAGGGTTAAAGCAACCGCTGCTCCCTTCTCTCAATTTCTCTTGCACTCACCTCTCTCGCGCCACCTGCCACACACCGGCTCACCAAGTACTACTCCACTTCCTCATCCGCCTCCTATTCCTCCTCTGCTTCTACTCCTCTTCTCCTTCTTCTTCTCCTCACCTCCTCCCCTTCTCCTTCTCCTCCTCCTCCTCCACCTCTCCCTTTTTGGTACATTATGTACCAGCACAGCAGCACACATGTCAGCATGCTGGTTCATACGGGACCCATAGTAGTCTGGTCGAGACCGGTATGGGTTTGATACCCGAGATTTTAAACTAAGCTCCAAGTATTTAAGGTAGTCATTAGGTGTCAGATGAGTGGAATGCCTATGTCAGCACTATGCCATCCGTGATGAAGGAATAAGGAAAAGAATCGAGGAAAATGAGGGCAAAAAAATTGTACAGGCAACGCAGAGAGGTGCATGCTAGTACCATGTCCTTGTCAGCAAACTCAGCATATGCATGGGCACACGGCTTGTATTGCACAAAATGCACAGTACATGCCTTGCCAACAAAGTACAGCCATGCAACCCATGCCACTGAATTTATCATACAACGTAAATGATTCATACTATTCCATTTGATGACTGAAAGACAAGTAAAACAATTTCAAATTATGCCATAGATACTTTACCTCCGGGATTTTTTCCAAGGACTGATCATCTTGTTGCAAGTTATCTTTTGGCGCTTCTTCACGATTTCCAAGACAATAGAAATTAAGATAATCTTGTGGATGTGCATTTTCAAGGTTCATGAATTTAAGAGCCCGTGCCACAATTTCATACATCATCTGTATTGTCTGGCCCTGCAGGAATCATAAGTTCCAAAAGTTAAAAGATTGTGATAATATGATCAACATAGGAAGCCTCAGTTACATAGAAGCATAATGGGATCCAATGTTGTCAAGATCAAGTTGACAATGTAAGTGACATTCTTAATTATATTAGTTACTACCAATATGGCTTTTGGTATATTGGTTACTACTAAAATGATGGGAAAAGATCCATGTAACCGATCCCAAATAGTTGGAACTTACGACTTTGTTGTTATTGTTGTTGTTATATGGTGAATTCTGTCATTCTAGTCAATACAATATCAGTCTGACAAGATTCAATATAGATAGTGGTATCAGGGTTTAAACCTTGACCTGATCCACTTTGTAGTTTGTACCGCGGATGGAAGAGCATGGAAATGCAAATGGTTACTTTGATTACATGGCGTGGAGTATAGAGCCCTTGTGGAAGTAAACAATACACGAAATGGCATGCACTGATAGGCTGGAAGTCATCAGAAACACTTCCAACCAAAATGACACTCCTGTAATTCTATCTTTATCTTGATGGGGCCAAAAAATATTTATTTTTATTAATGTACTCATGGAACAGGTTAATTCAGTTTCATTTTATATGGCATCTTAAGAGCAATAGGTTGATCTCTGGTTGGGAACTGAAACAATTAGGGAAGAAAATTTTGTTTAGTGCCTGACATGGTCTCATGTTCCTTCAGTGAAAGTATTCATCGCACAGATAAGAAACAAAGGAGAGTTAAAAGGAAATTTATTGACTAAAATATAAAACTGTTTTGTCGAGCAGACTACAATCTAAACACAACCTGTGAAGCAAAAAAGAAACTCCAGATAAACCATCATACTCCAAAACATTATACATTCAGTTCATGGAACCATACTAGTTTATTATTTATGCATATTGTACAGAATTTATTAAGAACTATGTTGATTATAGTTGGTAAGTTAATTTTGCATAGATAAAATTACATCCACATTTTATTAAAGAGTATGATCTTTTCCGGTGTAGGAATAGCAACATAAGAATTATATACAATGATTTCCTTGGGAAATAAGCAATAGGATTGCATATCACAACATACTGTGTGGACATCAAAATGTTATTTTGAAAAGCATGTAACGATCCACAAAAACCAAGCAGCATAGTTTCATATTTCATCATATTATGGATTTCCAATCTAATAAAAATAGTGATAATACTAAAATTTTCTTATTGCATTAATTAAGAAAACGAAGAAGATTCTCAAACCCATTTGACAAAACCAATATAAATACACTGAAGATAATGGTCCACATATGTTTCATGTACTGTTTGCACCTCTAGAGAAGCAGAAAGAAAAATGACTAGCTCCATAAACTTTTAAGGTACCCTGACAGAAGTTAATTAAAATTGACAAAACTTAAGAAGCAATGAAAGAATTTGTACATATGAAAAAAGAAAAGGATACATATAACAAGTGTAGTAAACAAGAAAACATGAGCAGTATCAGATGAAGAAAATAGAGTAAGATAAGTTACATTGATATAAGTAAAATATAAAGAACAGATAGAGAAGAAAGAAACATAACACAGATAATAGATCAGAAGTACAAGGAAAACCAAATCATACATTAAGCAAGAATAAGATGAGCTTAAAAAAGTAGCAAATGAGTGCAGGCCTTGATACATAGACTTTGAAGGAAACAATCTTATTTAGAGGTAAGCTTATGTACATATAGACTTTGAAGGAAAAGGTTGATTGAAAATATAGACCAACTCTGTCACCCCAATTTAGTCCCACATCACATGTAGGAGGAGAATTGAATTAATTTATAGGGGTAGATGGATTTACCATCATAGTCTTAGCTAGTGATTCATGCTCATCAAAGTAAGAGGCCCATAATCACCTTGGATAAGGTTGTGACGATCTGAAAACCAAGAGAGAATAGGCGAACTAGAAAAGCAAATCTGAAAGGGCTATACTTTTTAAAAAAGAAGAGAATATTATAAACCAAACTCTTTACATGTCCTCCCTCTCTCCATTCTTATAACTTCAAACAAATCATCTCCATGCTAAAAAACAATAGAAATAAAAGGGTGAACCGATGCACGAGGCTCATCCAGGGGGCTAATTACAAATTATCCCTTGTAGTTAGACGTCCTTAGCATCTTAGTCCCTGGACTTCAAAAAATTTATATTTGAATCCTCATAGTTATGAAAGTGAAACATCTACGTTTATTTACCCTAACATCATTAGTTTTACCAACAGAAATACGAAAATAATAGGCAAAAAAGTAATTTCAACGTTCCAATTGATGGTGATGACTACTGTAGATGAGGAGAGTAGCGATGAGACATGAGGGCCGCTCTACATCACCGACCCTTTCGCCACTCGACAATTGTGTCAACAACGACATAGATGCAGAGTGACGAAAGGGCCACTCGGCATCAACGTCGATGCCTATGCAGTTGCCGAGCGACACTACTCTGTATTGCGCCACTCTGCATCTACGTCGGCGCCAATGCATTTGCCAAGCGGCCCTTTTGCTGCTCTGCATCTGCATCGACGTCAACGCAGTTGTCGAGCGATGAAAGCGTCACTCGGCATCTGTGTCGGCGGCCCTTTCGTTGCTCAGCAACTGCATTGACGCCGACACAAATGCAAAGCGACAAAAGGGCCACTCGACAATTGCGTCGATATCAACGCAATTACCGAGCGATGAAAGGGCTACTCAGCATTTGTGTCGGCGCCGATACAAATGCAAAGCAACGGGATGCAAAGCAATGTGATGCAGAGCAACGCTGCTCTGCATCTGCGTCGACATTGACGCAGTTGCCAAGCAGTGCCGCTCTGCATTTGCATCAGCACCGACACAGATGTCGAGTTGTCACGAACAAAGTTGTAAATGAAGTGTTTGATGTAATGCTCATATATGTCCGTGCCTTTTTATTTTGTTCACGCTTTGCACAACATGTAAAGAGCTGGTCGTAGTGTCACGGACTTAGCCGGAATTGCCTAAGTCGTGAGGCATTCTTGCGGCAAAGTCATGGACTTAGCTAAAGTTGCCTAAGTCGTGAAGCACCCTTGCACCAACTCCTCGAACTTAGCTTGGGATTGCCTAAGTCATGAGGTGCCCTTGCGACATATGCGTCCGCAAAGGGTCAGCCAAGTTGTAACCTCGTACAGGTCTCGAAGGACCTATAAAACAGAAATTTGATTAGATTGTAAACGAGCGATGAGCAAGTCCCGACGTCTCGCGAAGAGGGAAGCTTTACAAGCAATTCAGCGAGCACCTTGAGTGCAAGAGAAAAAGAGAGGAAGGAGAAAACAAGGATTTTAGAAGGTAGAACGAACAGTTGCAAGTCCACAAACAACTGCTCACCGAGTGCCGAGTGCGAAGGCAAGTTCCCGTCATGTTAACGTGCGAACTTGTGAAGATTGTTCAACGCCCAACACTATACCACAGCCCTATCCAGCCCTGTGCCACCCGGGGGGTTCCAGGGTGCTAAGATGGCTAACATTTTGCGTGTTGCTGCAGCCTGCAGAAAACAAGCCATTGGCACACGAAAACGGAGCCATTTTAGGGTAATTTTGCCCGATGTGGTGAGCGGTCACACTATGGCACTGTAACCTGTTCGAATATACATTTTTACAAGCAAAAACACACAACCAAGGCAAAACATGCTGCCAAGCATCAGTACATGTATGCAAAAGCGACGAACGGTTTGTTGAACAAAGTTGTTGCGAGTGTGTGATGACCGTTCGTGACATTCTCCCCCACTTAAATTCACAACGTTTGTTGGTAGTTGATGACGACTGCTTCTTCATGTCGTAGAGCATCTTCAAGCTCCCAACTAGCTTCGGTTCAGGGAAACTTTGTCACTTCACCAAGTACTCAGTCTGCTCATTTCCATTAGTTAGCTTTATCTTGCGATCTGCTAAAATGGTTTCAACTTGCTTCTCGTAGGAGGCTCTCGTGAGGGGTAACCGAGTTGGAACACTTTTGGAAGCATCTTGCGGATCTGAGTGGTAGGCTTTCAAGTTACTAGTGGGAAAAACATTGGCACTCGAAGGAATGGCCAACCCTTCGTGCGAGAAGCACTTCGAGGACAAGCGAGATAGGAAGAACATGTAGTACACAAAGGTTGGGATAGCTAAGTTCAAGCTATGGCTCGATGTTGGCAACCAAACTTGACAGTGCTCAAGGCAAGCAGGGCACTTGGTAAAGGATAAGACCGTACAAAGTGGGATGGGTTGCTCAGCGATCGAAAGAGTTGTGCAAAGCTCACAAACGTGAGGGGAATTGCTAACTCGAAGAATTCGGTACTCATGCAAGGGCTTGTACGCGAACGATGGATTGTTCGTGGCCATCCCAAGGTGATCGAAACTCGACGCCATGGAACATTGAAACTTTCTCTTCAACGTGGGAAGGATATGTCCATAGGAGGCTGAAGTGTGTAGCGACTTCAGCATGTTGTTAGGCCTTGAGGGGTGCAAAGGGAGTTGTATTGGCGAAGTGTCACAATCTAGCAAGTGCATTTGCGAGGGCAGAATAATACATAGTTTGTTCAGCAAAGCGAAGTAGTCTAAGGGGATGGTGGTCTCCGAAACTATTAGAGGGAGGGATGCAAAAAGAGAAGTTGCTCCAACGGAACAGATATCCAGGAGGATAAGTCCTAATTCTCCAGAGGAAGAATCATGTCCTAATTCTCAAGACAACTCCACAAAGCTCAACGGACCGAGCAAGCAACAAGGAGTCGTCGCATAATCTCGCAGGAGGTAATGCATCAATGGACGTATTGTGAGATCAAGTGGGGGAGCGACCCAAGGCAACACTAAATGAAGAAACACTTGGAGCCAATATGGAGACCGGACTCAACGGAGGGCTAACCTGTGGAATAATGGGCGCGAGGGCCACCATCAACTTAATGCAAATCGAGAAGCAAAGCAACTTAGGCATAACTTGGTGAAGTGCCCAAGCCGTATAAATAGAGTCGACATAGAAGACGGAATATGGAG